CCCCCCAGGCCCTCACTGAGAAAGCCCGCCGCTCGCCTTGTTCCTGAAAACTCTCCTATCACTTGCGCCTGGCTGCAGATCTGTTCGGTACCGCCCCCGGATGCCCGCCTTGCCCAGCGCCCGCTCCCCTTCCGGAAGGCCTCGAGGTGATCAAGTACATGGCTGCCGCGCACAAGGCCCTTCGTAGGGACAGTCCTGTCAGCCCGACCTTCGACTCCTCCTCGCAGCACGGCATGTCATATAATCCTTCCCAGCCGGTTTCAGGCACCGCCGTCGCACAGCCCTTGGCCCACCACCTGGATGGCCACGACCTGCACCCCGGACTGCCCGCCTATCCCGCCGACTCTGCAAAGACTCTCCACGACAAGCGCCGCCACTCGCGAGGCAAGATCCATCCCCAGATCAAGCGCTCCTCCTCCACGCCTCACATGCGCGCCCTCGCCCTCGGAGAGTCGAGTCCCATTTCCCCCAATTCAGACAAACGCCGCAACAAGCTGGGTTACCACCGCACCTCCGTCGCCTGCGGTACGTCTTCTTCTGCCTCGTCTTCCTCTTCTTCTTGCTCCGTAGCTGACGCCTCCCAGGACACTGCCGTCGAAGGAAGATAAGATGTCTTCTGGCCCCGGATGACCCGCAGGGGCGGTGCTCAAACTGCATCCGCCTCAAGAAGGAGTGCAACTTCTACCCGGTTGAGCAGCAGAACCCGGGAGAGTCGAGATCGCAGGCTGCCAAAAGAGGCAGCGTGTCACAGGTCGCTTCTTCCTCGTCGTCCTCGTCTCCTCGCGCATCCAACGCGTCTGGGCACGAAGCGATTGAGGAATACAACTCATTCCAGCCCATGGGGTCCGGTGAGCCCCCTCCCGGTTTTGCCGTCACTTCAGAGATGGACGGGCCTCTTGACATCAAGGCGGGCGGGAGTACGTCGCACTCACCGCGTCAACGGCATTGTTCACTGACGCCGACAGCAGCCGTTCCCCAGCAAACCCCGTTCCCGTACTCTCCAAACTTCGACGTGACTACGTGGGGCCAGGGCTACCCGAGTCAGACGCCGTCCGACGGCCATTCGGAGGCTTCTTCGGTCGCGTACTGGTCAGCGACAGGAGCTCCGGTATCAGCATCCTTCTTCACCGAGCCCGTCGGCATACAGGGCCAATCGGGCCAGGAATCGTCCCACGGCCAGCTCGCACAGCCGCAGTTCCCACCGCCCAACCAGCAAATGTGGCCCGGGGGAGTCGCGCGGTCAATGTCTTACGGAGGTCCGGAGTCGATGCCGCACGATTTCCAACAATTTCCGCACTCGGGTCACTTGGCCGTGCAGCAACAAAGACATACGACCCACGAGCTGGGTTCTTCAGGGCCTCCAAACGCAGCGGTGCCAACATCGATGGCGGCTTGGCAGCCGTTGATGCCCCCGGGTTCGGAGGGCATGCAACCGGGCCCGGTGCAGCCGTACAACGCCCCGTGGTTCGGCGAACCGGCACAATTGGGATCACTGGAAGAAGAACACAACTACGCGTATCACCACCCTTTTTGAGACTTTACCATTTCCTCCGGCGCAACTGTTTTCATGATACCCCCAAAAGGAACTGGCATTTGGGATAAGCAAAATCAAATACGTTCGCACTCTCAAGGGCAGGGGATTCTCATGGTCGGATCGAAATTGATGAAGGCGGCGGTGGATCAGGATCAGGATCAAGATCAAGATCAGGATGGGGATCAGGACCACCAGGACCAGGATCAGGACCCCCCTGGATCGACAGTTTCTAGACATTCCGCCACCAAAGGACCATGATATCGCTTCCCACCTTCACATCGGCATCTTTTCGACCATGTTCGACTGGCATTACCACTAGCGCGGATTCGGGCCGACGAGCTGACTTGCGCTTATTCTTTCATTTTTTTTTTTTGGAGTCATAGCCATGCAATGTACATCACAAGGGCGGGCTTTCCGATGTTTCAAGAAATGCATTCAGGGGTGAGCTTCTCAATTTGTATAATCATTCTGCTACTTTGCGGAGGCCGTATAATATTTTTAGACTTTCTTCAATCGCATTCACAGCTTTGTAATTCACCACGCTTCCACGACCAAAGGGGAAGTCCTCCCTCGAGAAGCCTAATCAGGAAGGTTGTCGGAAGCATGGCTGCTAGCGTCTCAGTCAATATAGACAGCGCGGGTTAGAGTAGCAGGGCCAAGTCATGTCTTGGGCAGCAGTCTTGGATGAGGGCGGGTAATGTCCGGAAGAGCAGGCAGCACGTGGGCGTCAGACAGCGAGTTTCTGCAGCTATAGGGTGCGCAGCGGCAGGTTGCAGAGCAGGTTGCAGAGCAGGTTGCAGAGCCTGTTGCAGAGCCTGGTGGTCGCAATGGAGTCGGGGCCGAATCAGGGGCTCCGGGGCGGGCAGTCGGGGAGGACGAATCAGGGAGACGGAACGCGCAGACACACTCTACCTGCTTCAAGGCGAAACGACAACCGTATCCGCGGGAGCCCATGGCCGCCAATCCCAATCTTCGGGTGCTTAAATTTAGAGCGATCCCTCGTGGCTTTTTCGTCGTGGCAAGCAGCTGCACCGCAACCATGGGATGCGTCCAAAACACGTCGCTTAAGCTGGCGATGTCGCCGGGGCTCGGTCTGACAGCCTCGCAGCAGCCCGCCGTGCCACCTGAAACCCCCAAGTGAGGCACAGCCCTAATTTCCCGACGGCGAGCAAAAGGAATCCGAGCGAAGTCAAAGGCCCACATGGCTGCAACTGCTCGTCCTGATAAGCGCATGGATTCTTTGGACCAGCTGCAGCAGGCCGGAGCCAGTGCCTAGGCAGGCCGGTGACGCAATGCCACGCCGCTGCGCCGCGGTGCCTGCGCTGCCGAAGCCGACGCCGTCGCCGACGCCGATGGCAGAACAATGCGCGCAGCTGGGCGGCCAGAGCATCATGGTCATCATGGTTTGGTTGGGTGGTTCGGTGGCCGGGTTTGGAACCGCGAAAGGGAAATGGATGTGGACAGTCCTAGGGATCAAAGAGCGTTGACTAGTCGCGACCCGGCCCAGCGGGCGATCCAATGGCGGCGCCGTGTTGACATTCGCATCGCCCGGAGGCAGATCGCCGGGAAACCGGTCTCTTCGCCTGTCCATCGCCCTTCCCCACTTGAGCAACGACGCCGGCGCTTGCCTCGACCCCGGTTCCCAGCTCGCCTGGAGCCGGAGCCAGCTCCCACACCGGCCACACCGGCCACACTGGCCACACTGGCACACCCCAGCGCCAGCGCCAGCGCCAGCTCCACCGAACCGCCATGCCACTCTCGTGAGCCCACCAGCCCACTGTTTTTATTTCAACTACACTCCTCGCAGCCGCCCCGTCGCCGCCGTCTCGCTTGCCCGCCGCCGCCCGCCGCCCGCCGCCGCACGCGCACGCCGGCCACCTCGCAGAGAAGCAGAGAAGCAGAGAAGCAGCGTCCGGGAGACGCATGCAGCGCCCGCCACAAAAAGGAAGCAATGCTGAACTCAATAATCCAACGTTTCGCCACCTCGGGACCACTGGCTCTCCTAAGAACGCCCCCAACCAGACCAGTGCGCTGCAAGGATCAGAGCCCCGGCAATAATCAGCAAAAAGCACCACACCACGCCTCTTGCCTGCAACGGCGTGTGCACATCATGATCGCCGCTGTCGTGCCATCTCTCGCAGCATGTCAGCAACGCCATCAGTCAACCAGGAAAAGGAAAAACGAACGAGGAAACGTGCCTCCTGCTGCGTGCGTCACCACCGATCTTCGCCAAAAGCAGCATGGGTGAGCTTATGCATGATACCCTATACACGCCTTGTACATCAGTCGCCCATGCCACTTCGGAGAACCGTCCGTACCACACACACCCACACTTTCCTAGCTATACTATTCCCCCCGGCGCGTGGTCGGAGACGCTACGCGCAACAGTGTCGACGATGGCCTTTTCGTCGTGGATAAATCGACCCGACCAATTGCGGCGTCTCACCAAAGTGGATGGCGTGGCCCCCACCGCCACAATCAAGTCAGCTTCTCGCGTAGTCGCCCGCTTCTGGTCTGGACTGAGGGAGAAAAAAAATTCTAATTAACGACGTGGTGCTACAGGGTGCAAACTTAGTTTTCTTAAACTGTTGATCGAAAGCGACGAGGCTTGGGAAAGTCTCCCCGGCCTCATGGTAAGCATGCTGATAGCCTTACATTTTGCCACTGATGATCTCACTAGGGAGAGAGATTCATCATTCCCAAGCTTTCGCCATGAGAAACTATTGGTTCGTTCGCAACCTTTTCCACTCCTAATCTCCCTACCTACCTACTCGTCGCATATATTGTTGCCAATAAAGGAACACGAAAACGGTCGAGACCAGCATAGGGCCGCTTTCCTGGTCGCATTGATTGTGGCTGAGGGAGGCCCCCCCATGACGCTAATGACTAGCAGGGGGGGACAGACTAGTACTTGCAGTTATGTGCGGTGGCCCATCCCGAAAGGCTACCAGGATGGTGGATCGGGCCTAAGCAGAATTAACGAGCAAATCGAAAGATCCGCCTCTTGTGCGAACGCCACGGCGGCCTTGCCCGTCCGCTCCGCGCGCGCGGCATGGGGGCCGCCAGCGGCGGCGGCGGCGGCGGCGGCGGCGGCGGCGGTGGTGGTGACCAGGAGCTGCCACCTCCGCCGTGGCGGGTCGATGGCCCGGCGTATGTGTGCGTGCGCGCGCGCGCGGATGTAGCGGGCACTACCTACCACTATGGATGCGAGATCGTCTTTTTAGCTATTGTGTTCCTCTTGGCCCTGCTAAAACTGGACTATTCGAGCTTGCAGAAAGACACGACAGCAGCTTCTCATCCTTCCGTCCTTTCCTCTTGTGCCCTCGCCCCCCCTTTTTTTTAATCTCTCTTTCTGGTTTCTCGTACCACCGCACTATGACTGATCGGTACGGGATGCGCAATGCGTGAAGGAAGGCGCTATTGTCAGCCGGGCCGGCGCGCGAAGGTTTCGGTGGCTGCTTCATGTTATCCGCGCGGGCGCGGTTGGTGGTTGCGTCAGAGGGTTTTTTTTTTTTTTTTTTGGTTTGGTTTGGCCTGGCCTTCCCCCTCCTTTTCACTGGCGACGCCACGGTCATATTCGCTCGAGTAATCATTGTAGAAGCCAAGCCTGTACTGTTTGCACATTTATTGGTGGGCTAGCTTTTACCGCCTTCTCAGTCATGCGCTGTTCACTTACGGCGTGTGCTCTTCTGGCTTGATTCAACGCGATCAGCAATGCCGCGCCTCTGGAGAGACGAAGAGCTAGACCGGATGCCCATCGCTAAGGAAAGCTTGGCGCGCCGTTCAGGCACGGGATAACAAACGCATACCGTTGCCGTGTCGAGGGAACGGACAGCTGAACTCCGGCGCATGTACATCCGGATGAATGCTTCTAATGACCATGTGAGAGAGCCTAGGCAGTTCACATCTATGTCAGGATAGTTACGTCCACTGCCAACGCAAGAAGGTTTGAACTTTTAGTGTATGGGTGTAGGAGTGGCACTCCTTCATGCCATTCTCATCGAGTGCGGCCTGCGCGACACTAAGCTATCGGTCTACTGTGTACTTGGCCTTGAGCGCTATAACGTCGAGATCAACGGCCAGTCGGCCTGTGGTCGCGGTGTCGTTGGCAAGAAAAAAAAAAGGTTTCATACAGAGAAATGTGGCAAGCCGACCTACGTTGGTGAGACAGCAAAGGTTGTGTGCACTCAGCACATTGCTCAACCTGCACCCCCTTTACCAAGCGCCACCCGTCTCCATATCTACAGGCCTACGCATATGTGTGTGCGGTGCAACGGCTCAGTGTGCCCACAATGGTTCAAAGCAGTTGACATGGCCCGTGCGCATAGTGTCGGTCGTCCTCCTTTCGCGCGCTTACGCTGGACCACCATTCCGCTGAGTAGAGATGCGCAGAAGACTTTCTATACCGATAGATAGACCGGCATAGAGAAATGGCATGTGACAACCGTTTATCGACTCGCATTTCTGCCACGGGCGTGTAGCGCGCAGACGGTACAGTGGGCTAGCAAAGAATGAAGCCCAGAGAGACGTGGTGGAAACTGATGTCCGGACGTACGTGTACGGACTTCAGGTCCACTTCTGTGCCTCGATGTCTGCTCCAACTGCCCACGGAAGGAAGAACGTGTAGTCTCTTGGGGGGGAGGAAAGAAATGGATCAATGCTTTTCGCCATTCAACTGAGGCGGAAAACTTTCCCGACGGAGAGCGGAAAACTGCAGAGCGCAAAACTTGTCCGTTCCCCGCCTGCGTTATCAACCATCCGAACCCTTGCCTGACTGCCAGCTCATCTTAGGTCCAGATACGATCCCAAAGCGTCGCCATTCACCCCGCCTTATTGTACCGGTGGTTATAAAGGCCGCGCCTCGCTGCACCCTTCAGTCGGACAGTCACCGCAGCACAACAGATCAACCAAGAAGACCTGAATATGCCGGACATCTACGCCAACATCGACGCAGCCGCGCTGAAGGCTGACGCTGAGGACTGCATGCTCTCCTTCGGTTCGGCCTTCCATCCAGACATCATCACGCATGCCAAAGACGGCTACATCTACACCTCAGATGGGCATCGGATGCTGGATTGGACGTCAGGGCAGATGGTATGCCATCTCGTTCTCCATTAGTCTGGAAGTATAAAAAAGGAAGGAAGGAAGCTAAGCTCGCTCCGACAGTCCTGCCTGGTCGGCCATGGCAACCCCGAGATCGTTGAGACCATCACCCAACACGCGTCCAATCTGGACCACCTCTTCAGCGGGATGCTCAGCCCACCGGTCATCAACCTCGCCAAGCGCCTGACCAGCTTGACGCCTCCAGGCCTCGACAAGGCCTTCTTCCTGAGCACCGGCGGCGAGAGCAATGAAGCCGCCATCAAGCTGGCCAAGTCGTACACTGGCAAGTTCGAAATCGTCGGCCTGTCTGCGAGTTGGCACGGCGTGACGGGCGTTGTACGTTTTACCTACCCTTCCTTTCCCCGCGCCTCAAGCTATCAGAATCAATATTGACGCCAGATCGATTAGGCCGCTGCCGCTCAGTACCTCTCCGGCCGAACCGGCCATGGTCCCATGGTGCGTACACACCCATCATCTCAAATCCCTCCCTCGCAGGTAAAAAAAAAAAAAAAAAAAGGAGAAGACTTACAAGAAGCCCAACGACCAGATGCCCGGCTCTCTCATGCTCCCGGCCCCCAACACCTACCGCAGCATCTTCCGGCACGCGGACGGGTCGTACGACTGGCAAACGGAGCTGGACTACGGCTTCTCGATGCTCGACAGGCAATCCTGCGGCAGCCTGGCGGCCCTGATCGTCGAGCCGATCCTGTCGTCGGGCGGGATGCTGGTCCTGCCGGACGGGTGGCTGGCGGCGGCGAAGCGGCGCTGCGAGGCGCGCGGCATGCTGCTGATCGTCGACGAGGCGCAGACCGGCGTCGGGCGCGCGGGCGACATGTTCGCCTTCGAGCACGACGGCGTGGTGCCCGACGTCTTGACGTTGAGCAAGACGCTGGGCAACGGCGTGCCGCTCGCTGCCGTGGTCACGAGCGACGAGATCGCCCGGGTCACCAAGGAGAAGGGCTTCTTGTTCTACACCACGCATATCAACGATCCCATGCCCGCTGCTGTGGGGCTCAAGGTGTTGGACATTGTCGTGCGCGATGGCCTGGTTGAGAACTCGAGGCGGCTGGGCGCGAGGTTGCAGGCGGGCTTGCGGCGGCTGCAGGAAAGGTACGGGTGCTTGGGGGACGTGAGGGGCCGCGGCCTCATGGCTGGTGTCGAGATCGTGTCAAGTCGTGAGACGAAGCAAGGCGATGCGGCCCTCGGCTTCCGTATCTCTAGCAAGATGGCCGAGCTCGGCGTCTGGGCACAGCTGTCTACCTTGCCCGCTTTCGGCGGCGTCTTTCGCATTGCACCGCCCATCAACATCACCGAGGAACAGATGGATCACGGCTTGGCTGTCATGGAAGAGGCGTTGCGGATTACGCCAGGAACAATGCCTTTGTACGATGAGAGTTCCGAGACTGAAGCATTGAGCAGATTGTAAGGGCGTCTGTCGACAGGAGTAATTGGAAGAGATGATGGGTTGATGATCAGTCAAGTAATCGATGCGTATCCAATCAATGCTCTGCCCCAGTGTACAATGTAATCAAGTGTTTTTCCTAGGGCCCCTCAACTTTCAAGTATGTCCCACAATGACTCCCATGGGCAATCTGAATCCAGCGGACCAATCGGGATATTGAGCTCGGGATAGCCGCTCGTTCCAAGATCAGGCGTTTCTTCTTGGGTTCCCAATTGCTGGTTCTCTTCAGTGGCCTGTGTTGCATGTACGGTGCCGACTTCGCGATCCCTCATTGGGAAATCCAATGGTGCTATGATCCTGGAGATGGGTTCGTCGCAACGCTTGATAAACATGTCCGCGAGATCCCAATTATCTTTGCTTTTGGCGAGGTGTAGTCTTCTCCGAAGGGTTTTTAGAGTGTTTCTACACTCTTCGGCGACTGTGGCGTTGGCGGTGTCGATAGCGCAACGTAGCAAGACAGTAGCAGCCGAGACAAGTAAATGGCCAGTAACTAATACAGCATCAGCGCATGAAGCGTTGCGGAGGTGGTCGTCCAGCTCTCACAGGAAAGCCAAAATTCCCTTAGATGGCTACTTTTGAGCAAGCAAACGAAATCGGCGATGCGTGTGGCTGCACGACGGAGAGTTGTGAAATGGTATTGACGGACATCAGGTGCGTCCGATCCCTTCTCACGGGCAGCAACCTAGTACACGTCAGAACCTTTACCGGGGAGCATGAGAAACACATAGCTGCTCGAGAACTCAAAAGACCCGGATTTTACACCAAGGATACTCGATACATACCCGGTATGATAACCTACAAGTAAGCATTCTGACTGACAGGTAACCAAAGTGTAGACTACTGGCCCCGGAGACAGATGTTGCATTTTCAACGGCACCGACCTGAAGAAATTCGGGAAGCTTTTGCTCCCACTCATCGAGATCACATTCAAGGCGTCGTAGCTTCCTCCAGATCTCCTTGTCTGGTTCTGAGAGATCATATACCAATGGAAGCACGTCGCCGAGGATCTGGGATAGCCGGCAAAGCTGTATGAAGCATTCCGCTGCTTGGACTCTTTCAATGGTCTCGTTTCCAGGCGTCAAAAGCATGGAGAGAGTAGGTAGCGGGACGTCGTATTGTCTGCGTAATATCGATGGAGGAACGCCGTGAGCAAAGCTTGACCTGCAAAGGTCAGTAAACATGAGGCTGGATGTGTTTGCTGCGGAATACCATTGATCCAAAACCATGCAGCCCCAGAATATCCTAATTCTCATTTTCTTCTCCCGAGTCGCGGTTCTCCATTCGCTTGGGTCCCGGTTCAAGCCGAGGCTATGAGCCAAGGCCGTCGTCCTGCCGGAATTCATAATGTTGCCCTGGATGGATCCGACGGGCCTTCCCAGCAAATCAACCATAGAAGAATAGAGCGTGTACAAATTTGGGGCAAGGAAATCCTCTTGCAGCGCGGCGATGGCATGGTTCCAGAAGTACTGTTCGCTGGGACAATGGTGGTGCTTCAGCGTATCGGAAAAGTTCCAGAAGGTGAGAGAAATCGCGTAGATTTCGCAAAGAAGCGTAGAAGAAAGCGTTGGGCCATCTAGTCCTGAGACCAGCTCTTCATCGAGCACTGGAAATGCTGGATGGATGTGCGTGAAATAGAGTTGAACAACCTCCTGCTTCTTGGGGCCCAGGATCTGGTCAAGGATTTCTCGCTGGCTGCGACCCGAGTCTTTGGCAAGCTTCAGTCCTTCTCTATGTCTGGGGAGCGCCAAGTATATCATGGGATCACCTGGAGCATTTGAAACCACGCTGTACGGTTGGCTGGAATGCAAGCCGGTCCTTGGTTCCGCTGTCAAGTATCGCTGAAGGATCTGCACATCTTCAGCGACCAATGGCCCGATTACGATGGAGGCCTCGCCGGCAGGGCCTGATACAGCACGATCTCCATTGCGAGTGCTGGGGGCAGAAGTGTCTCGTAAATGGCGAGGAGCTGTGGGGGACCCCTCGCTTACGGCGCTGTCGGATGCGCGGGCTCTAGAAACAGACGACGGCCGGGCATTCTCCAACCTGGACCTTCTCCCTGCGCGTGCAGGACTTGGGCGGCCAGGATGGGCGGCGGGCGGACGGGCGTTGCTTGTACGCGTGCCCGTAAATAGGCAACTCAGGCCCTTCTCGGCACAAAGCTCACAGGGCTGTCCCGTGGCCGTAATGTTGCACCGGATCTTCCTTCGTCGGCATCTGTCGCAGGCAGGCACGCGGTGGCTCCGGTATGGCCGCGACTGCAGTGTGGTGTTGTTCATGATGACGGTTGCGAGGAGGAGCGGGAAACGATGATCCGACGGGAAACTGTGCTTTCCGTTTCCGTTTCCGTTTCCGGCCCTTGCCCCACCATGATGCTTAGCGTCTTGGCGTTCTGGGCCATTTAGTCGTTGCCGTTCTCTGCGAGATTTCTTCTTCTCTCGTTCAACGCCGCCACGTTTGGCTTGCCAGAGCTCGCCCACCCCCCACCCGCTATGCTTTTTCCCACATCGTTCCCGAAATCCCGGCGGCACCTCAGAATGCCGAGGTGCCGAAACCCCCGCTCACTGAACTGATCGGCATCGGTGGCTTTTGGCTCGTGGATGTATGCGCTTCATCGGTCCCTCGTCCAGAATTCGCGTTGTCCGAGGCGGTCCATGTCGTTCGAACTTTGGCGTATTCGCTGTCTCTCCTGGGGCCCTTCTCCGCAGTGGTCAAGCCTTACGAGCTCGCTTGCGCCCGTCGGTAGCGGGGCTTCGATCAGTGTGCCTCGGAGACCATCCTCCACACAACAGAGTCGTGTGCACGGCCCGCGCAGACTATATGCTGCCATTTCTCAGGCCCTTCGCTTCGTGTGCATCAATCGGCGTCAATCAAGCCGGAGCACCCGGTTTGCATGACACCCACTCTCGTATTCAAGACCAGGCTGCCCAATGGTCATTCCAGGCGAAACGAGCCCACCAACCACTGGAATTACGGCTCGTCAGCAGACCTGGATGCAGCCTCGCCGGTTGCTCCGTGATTCGGATAACTTGCTCAATCAGGCTGTGCTTGTATTGATGCCGATCTATTATCCAGGATTGCCGGCCCAGACGAGCATTGGAGCGACGAGCCACATCATCCGCCCAGTTTTTCTTATGCACGGTTGAGCTGGCGCCTGACAGCAGATCCCGGTCGGTTTCACGGCCCTGATTGGCCACCCCGCACCTTTCCCCAGTTCCATTCCTGCGGCCCCTCCCCACCACAACCAAAGGTCAAAGCCACTTGATATTCCCATCCGCTGCTGTACGCCTTCGTATGCATTTTCATGCTCGTTGGGTCGTATCTGGGTCCTGCATTCTCGCCAGTGGCCTACTGCATAGCCGCTCGCAACGTAATCCCGAAGTGGTACAATCTCCAAAGTTGCACAGCAACGACTGCGGTGGCATGGCGGACGGGCCGAGGCCCGGAATGCCTGACGAGCGGGTTTTAGATTACCTTCCACGAGGCCAAGGGATTCGAACTGTCCCGTGAAGCCTCGGGTTACGGCGCTGGGTGAGGTGTATATCAGCTGTGATCAGCGCCTCATCATGTGCATCACCGCTTTGTTGTCCGTACTTCACTCGCTTGGCCCAGCCTTAAGCTCGATTAGATCCAACATGCGTCTGTGCAGCCTTTTGATTTGCACGCTGGCCACTGCGGTGTGTGCTGCTCCTACAGCTGGCCCGCTGGGCGCACAACTCGGTGTCAAGTTCAGCAAACGGCAGGATGAGCTCCCCACTCTGACCCTCCCTTACGGGACATGGCGGGCATCAGAATACAACGCAGATGCTGATGTACGTCGAACGCTCCTGCCGATGCAGCCAGCAGCTGACCGACACTGTCCAGGTGTACACCTTCAAGAACATCAGGTTTGCCGCCCCACCCACTGGGGACAACCGTTGGCGCAAGCCTCAGCCACCGGCCAACAACGACACCATCCAGGACGGGAGCTACGGGCCGATCTGCGTTCAAGCTCCGATCGAAGGGCTCAATCTCCTCGGCCCCGGCAACAACGCTCCCATTGGTGGAGCCGTCAACCAGTTCTTGGCCGGGATCCCTGTTCCCATCTTTGAAGGTGGCTCCGAGGACTGTCTCTTCTTGGATTTGTTTGTTCCTGGAGATGCTGTACGAGGCCCTGACACAAAAAGCCTGCCGGTGATTGTGTGGATCTATGGGGGAGCATATGGTACGTCTCTCGGCTCATCTTCAAGGCAGAACCTGACCACGTCCCAGTGTTCGGCAGCAAAGATGCACTTGATTTGATTGGGTTCTACAGCGGAACGGGTCTGATCCAACAATCCGGCGGGAACGTCGTCTACGTCGCTGGCAATTATCGCCTGGGAACCTACGGGTTTCTTGCTGGAGAGACCGTGGAGAACGAGGGTGTGCCTAATGCTGGATTCTGGGACCAGAGAGGTCAGTTGCCCATTCCTTGGCAATTTGCGGGTGGCGCTAAGATCAGTGACAGCGGTCTTCCAATGGGTCCAAGACTACATTGGACTGGTCGGCGGAGACCCCACAAACGTCAACGCCTGGTAAGTTACTTTCCGCAAGTGTACCCAGAACACCCAACGCACGGACCACGACCGTCTTAGTACATCACCTTCGTTACAACCCTGCGCTCTTACGCTCGCGACAATCAATGAGGATTGCTGACAATATCCAAGGGGTGAGAGTGCGGGAGCCGGCTCGATCCTGCATCACCTTACAGCGCAAGGTGGCACCCTTGACCCTCTATTCAAGAGGGCAGTTGCGCAGAGCTCGGCATTCCAAATCATGTGGGATCGGAAAGGCACTCTTGAGAACATCTATCAAAATTTCACCACGCTTGCTGGCTGCGAGGGCCAAGGGCTCGAGTGTCTCCGCGCAGTTGACTCGGCAACCCTTGACACTGCCAACGAAGCTTTGATCAGGGACGCGCCGGAAAGTGCTTTCAACATTGGTCCCGCTGCAGACGGAGACTACGTGCGTCAACTTCCCATGCTAGAGTTCGCGTCAGGTCAGTTTTCCCAAGGCTAATCCTCCCCATTGCCGGACTCACACACTGAATAGGAAACTACTGGAAGGACCTGGAGTCCCTTATCATCAGCCACACGGCCGACGAGGCTGAATTGTTCGTTGATGGACACATTCAGACGGACGAAGAGTTCAACGGATTCATCGACTCTGTCTTCCCAGAGTATGCCAAAGAGGCCGGGATCAACGCTGCCATCGAGGAGTTCTACCCACCGGTCTCGACCAACGATACGTACGCCACGGAGACGGAGCGGACCAAGGGGTTTGTGCGCGACTCGTCCTTCACGTGCTGGTCGCGCTTCCTGACGGACGCGTACGACGGCAAGACGTGGAACATGCAGTACAGCGTGACGCCGGGTTGGCATGGGACGGACCTACTGCCCGCTTTCTACCAGGTTTACGTGTCGTTCGGCGACGACGTTGCGTTTCCGTTGCTGCCGGGGTTCGGGTCATTTGCAACAGCGTACCAGTCGTACCTGACGTCGCACGCGCGCTCTGGCGACCCAAACACGTACGCGGCCACGATCAACATACCGCCGGCGATCAACTGGCCCCGTCCCACGACGGGCGGCGAGGATTTGGGCAACGTGCTGAACGTGGGGGACCTCGGCTTCTCGCTGACCACGGACGACCAGCTGCCCAAGAGCGAGTGCGACTTCATCCTCGAGCTGGCTGCCGCGGTGACCAATGTCGGCGGGTATGCAGTGCCGGGGACGGCACAGCCGCAGAGCTTGGTGGAGTTCGACGGGGACCCGAGTGCGAACTACGAGTGAGGCGCGAGATGAAATGAGACGGATATGCAGGCGAGGGCGCTAGGATTGCGAGAGAGTAACTGGTAGGACAAGGTGGTGACTGGAGCGAGATTTAGATGGTCAGCCATGAATGATTAGTTGAAGCGCAGATCGCGGCGTCGATGAAACACGCAGCTGTGGAGCCGAAATTTGGATGAGCTTGGCTTCAGGCCACGAGGGCACAGGTGCCGCGATTTGGTGCCTGGGAGCGGAGCAGCGCCATGGTAGAGGTCGCTTTATTTAGTGAGGCTTTTTGCGCGCGCCGGCAAGCTCAGACCGCGTGGCCGGGGCGGGGCGGAGCGGAGCACAGGCGCAGCGCCGACTCCTACGAGAACGGCAGGCGGAGCAGCCACAGGGCCACAGGGCCACAGGGCCAGTTGCAACAGCCCACCGCCGCCCGATCCAGAGAGCAGGCCAGCGTGCAGGGTAGCGCCGATTCCGCCCCAGTGGTCTCATTTTTTCTTTTTCCCGTGGGAGTGGCGCGCAGCCAGCGACGTTCCAGCCTTTCTAGGCCGTGCAGGGGCCTTCCGCCGTTAAACCCGTTGCTGCTCGCCTGCCCTGCATATACCTACGCTCCGAATTACACTAAGGACCCGCCCATCCTTGCTCGGTCACCTCTCCCACTGCCACCACCACCACCACCACCCGCCCGCCCTCTCCGCCGCGCTCTCAGGCGCCCCGGAATCCGCGACTGTGCCCCGCGCCGGTGCTGAGGCCAGCTGCCCCTCCCCGCCACGCCAATGGCTCACGCTGGAGCCGCAGCGGACCTTCTGCGGCTTGTATGATTGCTGCTCTTTGATCCGCCGCCTCGCTGTGGCGTCCTAGTCTCGAGCAGCCGTGCGGCCCCGCGCACACGCGTGGTTGCTGCCAACGAATCCACGCCTGCTCTAGCGCCATTGCTGGCCTCTCCCTGCTCGCCGCCTGCCTGCAGCACTCTTCTCCACGGTCGACCGCCCGTCACTGCAGCTGCCCCATCACCCCTCGAGCGCACAATGACCAGCTCGCCACCGCGGCGCTCTGTCTCGTACTTCCCCAAGGCCGGCCGTCTCTTCAAGCGCTCCGAATCCGACCACCAGGCCCTGCCGCGCCGCCCCTCGCGCATTGCGCCCATCTTCGACCAGGACCATGCCGACCATCCGCTGCGCCCGTTCGACGAGGAGGAGCATACCCAAAACTATGGCGAGGCTTCCGCGACCCCGTTCACCACTCCGCTGCCGCCCGAGCCCGTCGACCTCTCCGCTCCCTACCTCTATCCCACTCTGTCCCGCAACGAGCGTCTGCGCCTGACCATGACGTGGTACTATACCAAAGACATTGCCGAGGACGAAGAGCTGCTCCAGAAGCTCCAGGGAATCATCAAGCTAGTGCGCTCATTCATTGGCTGGGACTTCGTCATCATGGGAATCATGTCCGAGAATACATGTTCGTCAGCTCCTCCCATTTGTCGGTCGCAACTGCGGCTAACGCGTCCTCTGCAGACCAGCGGCTGGTGACCGATGGAGTGCCCTTGGCCTTGCTTCCTAGAAGGGAGAGCACCTGCGCGCACACGATCAACCAGGCCCGCGGGGTAAGTCCACCAAGCTCCCCCGCCCTCGCACGCTGACCCCCCGCTCTAGGTCTTTGTCCTTCCGAACATGCTATCAGATTGGCGCTTCTGCCATTCGCCCCACGTCCAGGAAGGAGGATTGCGTAGCTATGCTGGAGCCCAGTTGCGCTGTGAAACGGAAAACGGACAGTTCGTCGCTTTGGGCTCTTTGTGCATAGCCATGAATTCTGAGACAGAGGGACTTGATGCGGACAAGCAAGCAGCCCTATCACGCTTCGCGGATATTCTCAGCGCCGAAATCGTCAACAGGTCACGTATCAACCGTCAACGCCAGCGCCAGGCCATGGGCGATATGCTATCCAGGATCAAGTCTAGGGCGACGCAGCATACTGTAGAGGACTTGGTGAAAGACGCTCTTCGGGACATCTACCCGGACGCATCAATTACCCTGCAGGACTCAGACAACGGCATCATCGAGCTCGAGGCCCGGCCACCAATCTCCTTCTCCGACGACGTGCAAGACGGCTTGTGGGAGGACACGGAGTACCTGGAAAATCTGATTCGAACGAGCAATCACTCCCGACTGGAATCCGATCAGACCATTCGCGCCATGGTCGCACGATGCCAAAAGCAACCTGTCGCCCGCTTTTTGGTCGTATCGTTCATCAAAGTCCAGCTCATCTTGGACGATGTTGACGCGTGGTTCGTCGAGTCTTGTGCAATAATACTGTTCGACTTTTATCACGAGCGCCTTCTTGCTGAGGCCTTGAAAGCTAAGGAGACCTTTTTCCGCGGCATCACCCATCAGCTTCGCACTCCCATCCACGGCATCCTTGGTTCCGTGGAGCTTCTTGGGGAGGAACTATTTTCGACGGCAGAGCACGCTCTTTCTAACGGTGCAGCCAAACGAGCGAGCATCGCATCAAGCGTCACAGAATCGAGCACGGACTTTTACACGAGCAAAAACGCTCGACTGTATCTGCAATCAATTACCAATTCCGGGCGCGAACTGATGTCGACGGTCAACAACATGCTGATGTTAAATCGCTGGGCGGAGTCGAGCAGGTCAATGAAGCAAGCTTCGTACTACGAACTGAATCTCCTCGAGGCCGACATCTTACGGGACATCACTTTAATGCTTCCAGAGGAGGAGCTGGCTTCAACGTCGATATTATTTGACAACCAACTCACGATTGAGTGCAGCATTGTCACGATTGACATCGGTCTTCTCAAAGAATGCTTGCAGTCACTGATCCTGAACGCTATTCAATCAACAAGTCAGAATGGGAGCGTTCTTGTCATAATCACCGCGAAGGATGACTACTCCACGTTGCAATTTGATGTCAAGGACACAGGGGCTGGCATTTGCAAAGAGGACCAGAGTCGAATTTTCGAAGCTTATGAGAAGGGCGACGCACATACCAGAGGCGTCGGGCTGGGTTTGACCATTTCCTCCAAGATAGCCACGTCCATGAATGGCTCTGTGTCCTTGGTCTCATCAGAAGTTGGAAAAGGATCACACTTCCGGGTGGAACTTCGAAACCCGGGCTTTGCTTGTCCAACAGACCATTGCCCCTATATACGTCCTGCCATGAAAGACGTCCCCAAACGATACCACGAGGTACCCACAGGCCAGGAAGTCATGCCACTGGTCCGACACTTTATGAATTACCTCGAACACCGTGGCTATGTCCGTTCGGACATCTCAGAAGGTGCGCTCAACCTCGTCAGCTACTGTGAGGACGAGAATGAATTCCAGGATCACTTCAAGAGAGTGGACCCCACCGCCATATCCGTATGTCTTATCCCTTCTCGTGCGAGCACGCGCTCGCTCCATGTCCCTTCTGCAAACAGCCGGATCCTCTTCTTCGAAGGCCCGTTCCTTTCCACCCGCCTCTACGACATCCTCTACCAAATCAACGGAACCTATGCCAAGCTCAAGCAGCTGCCTGAGCAATCACCCATCACCAATGGCGTGCCAGTTGGCCCAAACGAGCAGATACACGACGTGTTCGCGCGGAAAATGCGCATCGTTGAGCCCATCAGCGCGCTCCTCGTCGACGACAATGCCATCAACCTGCGCATATTCAAGCTCTACTGCGAGAAGCGCAACATCCCGTACGCCTGCGCCGTGGACGGAAACGAGGCGGTGGCGCAGTACAAGGCACACTTGCAGACGCAACCGCTCAACCTCATTTTCATGGACATGCAAATGCCCAATTGCGACGGCATCGAGGCGACCAAGCAGATCCGCGAGATTGAGCGCAGCTGCGGCCGCCACGCCGCTGTCATCTTCATGATCACTGGTCAAGATTCGCCAAAGGACAAGGCGCAGTCGAAGCAAGCGGGTGCGGATGAGTTCTTCGTCAAGCCCACCAGCCTCAAGACGCTCGACCTGGGCATCGCGCAGTATTTCGAACCGGTGGCTCAACGCGATATTCCGGTCGGCTGAGCTTTCGAGAGTCCAAGGAGGGGATGAACTGCATAGCCTCGTATTAAATCTGATCATGTCTCTTGTGAGATGCATCGCATTGAACCTGCATACCAGACGGCGGGAACTCCCCACGACATCAAAGGGAAACGTTTGTCGTTCAGAACACAGCAGAAGAGCCTTAGAACCGAGGGCCTCCGAGTGCCACACGCGAAGCAGTACAGCGCAAACATATCAACACGCTACATATCATGCTCACTGTCAAACTTTGGACCTCCTCAAGGAAGACTTTATTCCGAAGCTTGTCGGAGGGGAATGCTGCATTTTTTTTTCTTCATTCGCTACTGATAGTGTGGAGAGATACTGAACAGCCAATCATCCGGGAGTGGGGAACAGCTTGAGTAAGGAGGGCAAAGAGAACTCAGGGGAGGAAGAGATGGGAAGAAGTCGAGTTATCGCTGGTTGGATTTTTCCTTCTCTTGCTACGGCTACTTCCGAATGATACCTCTGCAGCATTCAACGTTCAGGACCCGGTCCATCCGTCCAATGAAAAAGACAAAAAGAGCTAGGGAGGAGATGGTGTTAGAGAGCAACAATATACCCATTCACATGCACAAGCGCTCCCAAAAAGACAATTACATGCTCGAGTTCATTACCCTTACTCATTGGTCTCGTCATGGTAATTAGGATTTCGTTACCCGCGGGAATTCAGCAGCAACAGAAAACAACAAAAGACGCATCTGGTATGGCAAGTGTGAAAGCATAAGAAAAGGAAGACAAGTTGCCGCCTCTTCTCTTACTCCAGAATGCAAGAAGATAGGAACAAGGTTAGTTATGTCCATGTTAGTTCGAAAAAGCAAAATCGAGAGAGCAAGCAAGGAAAAAAGAAGCAAACACACCCCTGTACTCCTACTACGGTTAAAACAGGAAACCGAGCAAGCGAAGCAGAAAAAGAAAAAATAGTGGACAAAAGGAAAGAAAGAACGAAAAAGGCTCTGGGCCCGATCCATCCTAAGGGATAGAAAAGCAGAGGGCGGGCCGCCGGTGCTCCAGTTCCTGGCAGGAGGACTTTCTTCAGTACTTCATCCCTTTATCGTCGCTCTCGTCTCTCACGTCCCGCCCCCAGTTTCTCATGAGAACCAGGGAGCTTCCCCTCGTCGCACATGCACATGCACACACACACATACACATAAAGCGCATGGCTGGGTGATCACGAGAAAATAGAGGGTGTGCGTGGTGAGCGAAGGGCAAAAGGAGGAGGAGGAGGAGGAGGAGAAGCGACAGTCACCTCAAGCAACAACGGGTCCCACCGTTGTCGTCGACTTCGGCCCCGACGATGATGTGCTGCTGCCGCCGCCGCCGCCGCCGCCGCCGCCTCTACCGTCGCCATCACTGCTTCCACCGCCGCCGCTTCCCGAACCGCCGCTCTTCCTTCGGAATTTGGCATAACGTACTGTTGTTCCCCATGCGTTTTCTTGTCAGCTAGCCATTTCTCTTTTCCAAAAAGTCGAAATTAACAGGAAGGGGGTAAGCGAGGTGAGAAAAGGGGGGGTGGAGGTTGGAAGTGGAGGAAAAGCAGGGGGGATAAAAGGAAGGAAAAAAAAAAAGACTCACGGCCGCACGCATTGCACAAGCTCTTCGGCCCAGCAGGTCCCTTGCGCCACTCGGGTGAAGAGGTGGCGCTGCACCAGGCGCAGACGTAGTCGTCGACGGATTGCTTGGCGCGTTTCTTGAAGCCCGCGCCGCCCGTCAGCGCCTTGACGATGAACGGGATGCCCACGTCACCCTCCATGACTGTTGGGGTATTCTTCGGCGGCGACCGGTTGTTGGTGCTGATGTTGTTGATGCTGATGTTGTTTTTCTTGTTGTTGTTGCTGCTGCTGCTGCGGTTGGTGGTGGCGGCGATGGTGCCCGGGACGGCGGTCGTACTGAAGGTGCGGGAGAGAAGGGCTGGCGGGGGTTTGTTGTTGTTCCCAGCAACGGAACGGGGGCAAGGAGACGAGAGGGAGGGCACGATGACGGAGGCGGATGTGTTGGTGCTGCTGCTGCTGGCCGGGCCGAACATGCTGCTGCCGCTGCCGCTGAAGACGGATTCTTGCGCTGAGGAGGCGGAGCCCGTCGTCAGCGTCACGTTGGAGGGCTGCACATCGAACCATGGGAAGCCGTCGCTCGGGCGCCGCATGGCCGTGGTTGCAAAGGCGGCCGTGGGCGCGGCCATGGAGTACTGACGTGTCTGGTAGCCATCGCATTCCTCGGAATCGGCGTCATTTTCGTTGTCCTGCTGCTCGGCCTTCAGCGCGGCCAACTGTGCGGTCAGCCGCTCGTTTTCGATCTTTAGGAACAGGAAGGAGTCGAGTTTGGTGCCTTGGGCGAGCGGGTAAGGCCGGGCCATGAGGACGAAGAGGCCATCGTCGTTTGGCGGTGTAGCTGTGATGCCGATACCGACAGGGATGGGGCCAGGCGAAGCAACCTCATGGAAGCGGCCGGTGATCTCAAAGACGGAAAACGAGGGGGAGGACGTTAGGTGTTGGTCCGCAAATCCGGACGGAAAGAGAGCGGTGTCAGCATTGGTGCCCGCCCCCACAGTATTGACCCGGCTTCGGATGCGACAGTAGAAGCGGAAAGGCCGTCCGGTCGACGAGGCCTCGCGAAGCTCGTCCCGGTAGACAGGCGCGTCGTCCTCGTGCACGTGGTCTACCAGCACGGTGCCTACAAGGTCTTCGGGGCCGTACCCCAGCAATGCCGGGCTGTTAGGCGAGACGTGCTGAATGGTACCGCACAGTGACAGGACATAGTGGAGATCGCGCAACGACTCGAGCACAGCGGCGCTGATGTGCGTCCAGGTGGCTGCAGGCTTGGTCCGTCTGGCGGCGGAGGCGCCCCAATGGTGGCGGCTGGCACTGGCCGAAGCTTCAGTGATTGAGGCAGCAGCGAGAACGGCAGCGGCGTCCTCAAGGGGCCGGCCGGGATCTGGGTAGCTTGGGTCCATTTGCAGGGGAGGAGAAGAGATGGATCAGAAAAGGTTTTGCCTCCTCGCGCTCCCGACGCGCAGCCGAGCCCGGGTCGAGGCAACCAGCGGGGATCGAGGGAGAGAGAGAGAGAGAGAGTTAGTGTTGGAGAGTACCTCTGTCGCTACTCAACGAGAATTGGCTGGAGGTAGGGGGGCCGAGGTCAGTTGTGGCGCTTTTCTATACACACTTGACTACAAGCGAGCGGCCGAGAGGATCGACCGATGCTGCGGTCCGCCGTGGTGCCCAACTGAGCACGCTGGAGGGTGGGCCCGAGGCGTATCAAACGAAAGCAGCAGCTGCGTGGACAGGCCGACTAGCATGGACGCGGTCCGGCGTCGGCTTGCCGGGCCTGGCGGGGACGTGATTGGGCGGCTGGGCAGGGCCGGGAGCCAGGTGGGATTGTCACTCAACGGAGGTGGGAGGCAGAAGGCGGGAAAAAGTGGTGCGATGCGAGATGCAGCAGCTCGACCGGCGTGGGAATCGTCAGGACGGGCGGGCATCTGATCTGACAGATCTAGACCGCCGGGCACAGAGGCACAGGATGGATCAGGTACGCAGTCAGTCGCGGTGCGGACGCGCGTGGACGCTGGCTGCGGTGGCTGCGGTGGCGAAACGGCCCCTGCGGATGAGAGCAGCATGGTGGCAGCATGGTGGCCGCGGGCGCCCAGAAGCGGGACTAGGCGCGGCCAGGGAGACACAGTATACAGGCCGAAGCGCCGCGCGAGGGTGGTGCGGACGATGGGCGTGCGGTGGGAAGAACAAGGTTCCAGGGCTAGCGCTCGAACAGGCAAGCAGGCGAGGGCGGCCGGTCGCATGCAGGGCGCGGAAACGACAGAGGTGCTGCGCCGATCCGGCGAGACCCTCGAGCCGGGCCCAGAACAAGCCTCCCGCATCCGGGGCCGCGGTTTTCTCCAGGGCCGCGTTATTCCAGAACGAGGGCTGTGTGATGAGGCCGCGTGAGGCTCAAGCGCCCGGCTGGGCAGGCCGCGGTGCTTCCTGGGGGCTGGTCGCGCGCGTTGGGCGCCATTCGCTGCTCCGCAATCCGTTGCCACGCGCCCGGGGCCCGTTGCAGCTCCGTTGCAGAGCCGGCCTGGCGAGTTGGTGCTTGGGTCGCCGACTCGCCGCTGCCGCCCGCCGCTGGCCACGGTGCCACGCTGCTCGCTGCTTGCTGGCCACGCTGCTGGCCCCGCGAGCCACTGCACTCGTGCCGGGCCCCCGTCGCGGCCACTGTGCGCCGGTCCTGCCCCCCGATTGGGACCATCTCAGCTGGCTCCGCTGCGAATGTCGGGGCCATGGAAGCGATGCCTGCCAACCGCCAACCGCCAACGGCCGCCCACGCCGGGTTGCGTGCCAACTGCCAGCACTTGCGGTAGCGCGCAGGCTAGCACGCTGGCCCGTGAGTCCGTGACCGCCGCCCGTGTTCGGGGATCGCGCGGCAAACGAGTATCGAGGTGTTGCGGCGGGAGGGTGGCGGACCGGCAGCTTTGGCGGCTCTGCAGCCGGCCTGTGCGCATCCCGGCTGGCGTCAGTCGCCTCACAGCAGTCCACATTTCGCCGCTGCGCATTGCTGCCCGGCTTCACTGCACACGCTCACTAGCCCGGTCACTTGCCAGTCTCGCTCCGTCGCTGCTGATCTCGCGCCTTTCATTGGCTGGATGCTCTACCCGTACACAGCTCAACGCCTCGCCCCACGCCCGGTCAATTAATTCCCCCCCCAGCACACCAGTCTGAACCTTTCGTCTAGCTTGTGCGCCTCGTGGCCTCCTCTTCTCCGCTGCCTCGCCGTCGACTGGCTGCGTCCCACTTGCTGAGCGCCAATTCACCGTGCTATTCGCCGAGTCCGTCTGCGACCACTCTCCCCGCTCCGACTCGGATCCTCCCTTCGTCGGGGGGGAAACGAGAAGGGTGCACTAATGGCAAAGACCATGGTTTCGATTGTGGTGAACATGACGCAGTGTGTTTGAAGACGCACGTCGTTTGGAAAGCGAAGCGTGTCCTGCTCTAGGAAGGTGTGGCGGTGCAGCCGACAGCGGCAGCGGAATGGGTCCGCACCGAACCTCCGATCACACATCATGCTCCACCGTTGCTTGACAAATGCACTCGCTCACCCAGTCTTATTAACTGCTGCATCTAAACTCCTTTTCACTAGATGCTAGATCCAACTATCAACCACCGCTGATAAAATGCCCATATCCCGATTGCACAGCCTTGCATTTATAGTCGCCGGGCTAGCAGTGGCACTGGCTATCTTAGCATCCTCGTACGATCTTGCGTCCGCTGCCAAGGACTTTGTGACTTTACACGTGCTTCCAGCCGTTACTTCGAACCCTGAGCAAAGAAACACTCACAAGGCTGAAATGGCAGAGCAAACCCCCAAGACGCCCGTATATTTCGTGTCCCACGGAGGGGTAAGTATCGCCAACCCTCCCCCAACCACCTGTGTACTGATAAAATAGCCAAACCTCGTGGAAGAAACAGATCATCCGGCATATGCAAAACTACAGGAGATCGGCAAGGAGATTACAAGCAAAGTCAAGCCAAAGGCAGTGGTTCTCTTCTCCGCTCACTGGCAAGGCCGGAACGACAAGGTGCTGGTAAACACAGCTGAGATTACCGACCTGATCTACGAGTGAGTGCAACTGTAGGTCAATCTCGAGCTGAGCTGACCTTTCAGCTTCTATGGCTTTCCGGATTGGTATTACTCAATCAAGTATCCTCACGTAGGGAGCCGAGATCTGGCACAGAACGTCATGTCAAAGCTTGAAAATGCCGGCATTGGCTACACGCCGGTAACCCGAGGTCTCGATCATGGTGCCTGGCTCCCACTACTTGTTGGTAAGCACTGACCGAGATATATCAAGGTTATACGGGGCTAAGACATATATTAGCATTCAATCCTGAAAAGAACCCACTGAATGTCCCCATCGTTCAAGTCTCTCTCTTCAAGAACGAAAACCCAGACGAGCACCACAGACTAGGAGAAGCTGTGGCAGCTCTTCGGGAGGAGAATATCCTTATCCTAACGTCCGGCATGGCCGTGCACAATTTGAGGGATCTTTGGTTTTCCGCGGGCCAAGACCAGCCGATGCCGTATGTATTGTTTGCCATTCACGCAAAGGCCAGCTTCTGACATGGACGCAGCTACGTTTACAGCTTCGACAGTGCGCTGAAGGATGCTGCTACGGCTGAGCCAGGCCAAAGACAGGCGAAAATGGCCGAAATTTTGAAGCGAGGAGATGCCCGCCAAGCCCATCCAACCTTCGAACACTTGCTGCCAATTCATATCGCCGCAGGTGCGGCGGGCAGTGATGTCGGTACTCGTCTGTTCACCCTCGCGGACGGGAGTATGAGCTGGGCGCAGTATCGATTTGGAGATTTGGCGGGCAACGCGACGGTTGCGGCCAAGTTCTAGGGACACGTCTTCCCAACGCGAATTGGTGGGGAATTAAAGAGCCGTCGATGCTCCCGCAGTGCGGAGCCTTTTGTATTTGTACAGCCCTCGGATAGGGAAGCAGCTACTTCATAGCATCTACGACGACTTGACCAGCTCGGTGACTTTGCTCTCAATCGTCGCATCATCCAACCCTGCGCGGATAGTCAGCTTTCTGCGCTCGTGCCAGCGTCGCAACATGCACAGCAGGCCCACTCACCCGACAATGGCAGCATCTTCTCCTTTCCGAACTCTGTCGTGCTTCCGTCAGCCAATGCTACCCCGTCTTCCAACCGGGGGACGTCGCGGCGCACCATATCTCGCGAAAACCTTGGGCTCCACGTTCTGGGCTTCTCTGATGAGGATCGGCGTGTGCGGGTTGTGCTTCTTCATGGTCGGGTAGGCGCGCAGGAGGAAGTTCCTGGGCGGTCCAATCAGCGTTGTCTCTTTTCCAATCGAGGTGGGCGGCGGGGGCGGAATTGTACCGTGCAGGGGCGCTCTGGGACGAGGACTGGCAGAGGGCGAAGCGCAGCTCCTTGACGGCGCTGCTGAAAGCGTACTTGGAGGCCATGGCGAGGGTCGGGGTGGTGGATGGGCGGTTCGGCGGTGGTGGAAAGCCAGACACCCAGGATGGCGTCGACGTCGGCGCGCAGGGCTTGGCAGCGGGATTTCGGGACTCCACTCTTCCTCGCGCCTCAACACCACCCGGCCTGAGTAAGCTCCGTGCCTTTTCTTATCCCCGCCCGCCGGCTCCCTCTCAACACCAACACCTCTCTGCCTCGCTCCGAGCCGCCGCCCTCCGCTCTGTCGACAAGCTGCCCGCCATGTCTGCCTTCCGCCCCACCACCCGCGTCCTCAACTTCTCGCGCACCGTGCTCCGCAGCCCGGCCTTCCGCCAAACCCCCCAACGCCGCCTGCAGTCCACCGCCGCCGACGCCAATGCCTCCTCCCAGAGCGGGTTCGGCAGGTTCTGGAACAGCCCTGTCGGCCCCAAGACCGTCCACTTCTGGTGTGTCTCTATCCTTCCCAAATCCATACGATACGCTGCCGCAACAAAAATGTTGTGTCGTGCGATCAAGCTGGAGAGTGGGGCCCTCACGCAGACCACATGAGCTGACCCATCCGCAATAGGGCTCCCGTCATGAAGGTACCATCCCGATGACTCCGGTTCTATTGCACTCATTCCTTCGCCGTCTTCGCGGAATTGACCATGTTTCCACCTCCGCTATGACTGTACCACAAAACGACGGAAAGCTGATAGATGATACAGTGGGGTCTTGTCCTTGCAGGTGTTGCCGACTTCTTCCGTCCCGCCGAGAATCTCTCTCTGTCCCAGAACTGCGCTCTGATGGCCACCGGTGCCATCTGGACCCGTTGGTGCTTGATCATCAAGCCCAAGAACGTCTTGTACGTGCACCTCGACCGAACCATTTCCCCGTTCGATTTGATGTGATCGGCCTAGCGCAAACCGGCTAACCTGGCTCACCGCAGCCTTGCTACCGTTAACTTCTTCCTCGGCTGTGTTGGTCTTGTCCAGACTTCCCGTATCCTGAGCTGGCGCTCGTCCCAGAAGGGCCAGTCCGTGAGTGAGGAGGCCCAGCAGGCTGCTCAAGAGGAGGCATCTACCGGCAAGAAGATCCTCGAGGACCCTGTCGCCGCCGCTAAGGCTGCCAAGAACTAAGTCGATGGCTCAATGAAAGTGATATCATCGGATAAGCGTTTGAGAGGCTGAAAATTCATCTGGTGGAACCGAGCAAAAAGACAAGATGCTCTTCACACATCGGGCGCAAGCCAAATAGAGAGGGGCGGCAGGTCTCACAGCAGAGATACCCCGGAAAATGGAGGCTGGGTGAAGAATGTATTCTGGATAAATGAACCATGTAGCATGAGCGTTCTCGATTGATATCCTGCCATTTCTGGGTTTTTCTTGACATAAACGTCAGTCTTTCAGTTTTGCTACAAACGTCTCAATCTTGAATTGCTGCACCCCATCTATCCTACCAGGTAGACTTAGATTTCTATCCACAAAAGCGCAGCTATCTTGCTTTCCGGGGGTTGAGGAGAAGACGACCATGATCAAGATCAACATTGTACCGAGAATTGGTTTAGACTTCCCATCATCATGAGACTTTGAACGCCCGCCACGGCAGATGGGCCGTTTCGTGCCCGTTTGCTCGACATCAGGGTAGTGGCTTCCGATCACACTTAACTCATTCGAGCACATCTCTCAGTCTGAAACCGACGACGGCTTAATCAGTAGCCACGACAGAGTCAATCCTCATCCTATCAGCCAAGTCAGCATTCTTTTTCTCCATCAACATCAATATATTATGGATACAACTTACGCATCAGGTGTTCGCTTCGCATCCTCCTTGATCAGTTCTGCGGCCTTCTCGCCAATCCCATACGCCGGCATTTGGGCTGGTACATACGACATCAGTAACATCCCCAATAAAAAAAAAAAACCACTTTATCGTAGCTTACTGTGGCCCTGGTTCATGAGAGGCATGACGCTGCAGTCCGCGACCCTCAACCCCTCGACACCCCTCACGCGAAGCCGAGCATCCAACACGGCCACCGGGTCGTCATCCCTTCCCATCTTGCACGTTCCCGCAGGGTGGTAGCCTAGCCACCCGAGTCAGCAATCCACAAACATCCTCCTCGGTCTCGAACCGGCTCCGTAAACTTCGAGAAGGGATCACTCACAGGTCGTCGCATTCTCCCTCACAAAGCCAGCCCACTGCTCCCGCGTCGTATACTCGTGATGCTTCTCGCCCGGCGGCCACGAGCCCTTGACGTAGTCCTTGGTACCCGCGCCCCCGGTCACGATCTCGTTGCCCCAGCGGCACGCCTCGGCCATGACGAGCAGGTCCAGCGGGTCGGCGAGGTAGTTGTGGTCGACGACGGGGTTGGCGGTCGGGTCGGCGCCGGCCAGCGTCACGGAGCCGCGCGAGCGCGGCGCCAGCAGCATGCTGAGCAGCGAGAAGGCGCCTTGGCCGTCGCCCGGGAACGCCGCGTACTGCTTCGGCCCGCCGTAGCACTCGGTGCTGAACCACTCGACGTTCGGCTGCGACGCGCGCACGAGGCCCATGGCGTCGCGCGCGCCCTCCAGCCCGTGGGGCTTGCTGGCGTGCGGGTCCGCGGGCGGCGGCGGCGGCGGCGTGGCTTGTTGCCATTCGGGTGCGTCTTTGAGGCGGTCGTCGAGCCTGCCGTAGGCGAAGGCGCCGAAGGGGAAGGTCGAGAGGAAGCCGGTCTTTGTGTCCTTGTAGAGTTGGTAGCTGGAGTCGAGGGCGCCGTCGTAGTAGGCGAGATGGTCGTTCGTGAGTTCGGGCTTGTTGGTCTCGTAGAAGACGAAGGTGATGAGATGGTCCATGAGGTTCTTGCCCACACCTGGGAGATCGACCTGGGTTTGGATACCGTGTTTGGAGAGCTCGGTTTGAGGCCCGATTCCCGAACGCATGAGGATTGCGGGGCTGCAGTAAGATCCTGAGCTCACAACTATCTCCTCTCTTGCCTGGACAATTCTTTCCGCACCGTCCTTGGTCACTATCTTGACGCCGGTGGCTTTGAGCCTTCCATCCACCGGCTCGAGAATGACTTTGTCGACCACGCTGTCTGTCTTGATGGTAATGTTTTCCCGCCTGTAGCCCTTCGTGATGAAGTCGGCCCCCGTCGACCGAACACCTTGGTGGACTGTCCGGACAGTGTTACTACATCCTTGGGGAGAAGCGCCAGTAGAGAAAAGGTCTGGGGTATGAGGAATCCCTTGGTCGTGGAATGAATCCAGGAGAAGCTTAGATATGGGGGCAAGGTCATGGGGCTCTGTGTGCAGAGGGCCGTCCGTGCCATGCACGCTCAAATCGGCTTCAAAGTCATCCTTGGGATGGAAGGTCTCCGCCTGTAGTCACAGGGGTCAGCATTGATGCCGGACAGCCAATATAAGAACCGCGGACTATATCGGCTGCAGACGGCAAAGCTTCCGTCTGGATGCTGGGTCACAGCCCCGATGCGCAGCCATGCCCGGATCGCCCATGTGCAGTCTCTTGGCAACTGCACTAGTCTCCAGCCCATCCACACGCAGGAAGGGTACGGATGCGGGGTAACAATGCTGGTGAGGGGTGAGGGACCTCGGGACGCAACACTTGCCTTGGCCATGCACCTCCACATGTCTTCGCCCGACCAGCCATCCAAACCCCAATCGTCGTAGTCTTGCTTGTTTCCCCTGATGCAAAGAGTGCCATTGAGGCCGCTGCAACCTCCCAGGAACCTGCCTCTGCTGTTCTTGATCTGGCGGCCATTGATGCCCGGAGCGGGCTCGGAGGTGATGTTCCAGTCGGTTGGCCCGTCAAGGTTCTGCGACCAGCCGCCGACCATGTGAACATTGTCCAGATCTGCGTTGTCAGGACCTGCCTCGATCACGCAGACAGAAACGTTGAGGTCTTCTGCCAAGCGGCCCGCAATGACGCAGCCAGATGTACCGCCACTGTGGGTCGGGGGTGAGTGTAGGCCACTGCGCAGTCCGGGGAGGGCCGGTCTTACCCGCAAACCACGTAGTCATACATCTCAGATGCCATGATGGATAGCAAGTTCTCCAAAAGATGGGCGCTGACAGCAGAAGTGAAGCAAGCGGGGATGCAGTCTCAATTTACGCAGAGGTGCCGCCTAAATAGCGCGGCGAGCTGCAATAAGCACTAAATCAGAAGGCGTATGTATGTATATTCTCCACCTCGTTCCTGCCTGCTGCCTCGTGCAGCGGGTTCCATATTCGGCGCTGAGTGAGCATCCTGTGAGGAAGACTAGGGCTCACCCGGGCTCATCATCGGGGCTCATCAGCGGCGGAGGAGGAGGTGAAGCGCGGGCTGGCGGTGCGCGGCTCGGCAAAGGCGTTTCTTCACGCACGATCGTCGGGCGCGGTGGGCGGCGGTGGCAGCGGCGGCACCCGCGCGGCGCGAGTGGGCGACCCCAGAGATGTGCGCGAGCTGTACAAATAGCTGGCACGGCGCTGAAGTGTTCGTTGGAGGTTGACGTTGCGCGCAGCGGGGCCATGGCACGGGCCGGCACGTGTGGGCTCCCGTCCACGGTTGCTGGGACGGCGGGCGGCTGGCTGCTGGCAGCAGGAAAAAAAAAAATTAACGGCGGCTGCGTCGGGGCAGCGCTGGAGGAACCGCCAACAACTGTCCCGCACTGATAGGACCGGCCGCATCGGCGTCTCTCGGGCGCAGGGCGCAGGCGGCACCGGGCGCCTTCTCGAACGCCCAGCGAAGGCAGTGATTACCCCGGGCCCGCGCGCCCTCTCACCCGACGGGTTCCAGAAACACAGCAGACTCCACCAGGCCAGCCGCACCGCCGCCCAGGACCGCCCAGCGCAGCAGACAGCGCACTCGCCTCTGCCCTGCGAGCCGCCGCCCCATCGCCGCGCCAGATCCCGGTCCTGATGTGGCACCAAGTGAGCTGGCGCCCGCCAGTGCGCGCCAATCAGCCCGCCGCGCCCGTCCAGCGCCGCGGGACGACTTGCAGGCATGCTATCACCGTGCAAGATCTGCTGCCGGGATCAGGCCCGGTTTGCTTGTTGACCGGCTATCCTGCCCAGCGCTCCTCCACCACACCCTCTGCTTTCCTGAACCACACTATGCCTCCGTCCGCCGAGTCAGGCCCACGAGCTTGGATTTCCTTCGCGACCGGACGCTCGTCCCTTTATTTATCGCGCGATATCGGGCAATGAGCGGTGTATATGGTCGCCGCCTTGTGAACCGCCGTCAAGAATCCAAGAGTCCCGCCACGCCCACCGAGAAAGTCGCGCTTGCCTCGACCGCGCCCCCAGCCGCCCCTCCCTCGCCCAACCTCACCATGGCCTTTGGTTGGCGCAGAAGGCAGCCGCAGCCGTCCGAGCCCGACGCTGCCGTCGAGAAGGCCGAGGTGCAGCGTGTGAGAAAGCGCGACCTCCTGCGCCAGCTCTTCTCGGGCGCCTACGCCGACAAGAAGCAGGAGCGCGCTGCCAGCATCCCGAGCGTCGTCGAGCCAGAGGTACCCATGCCCCGCCCACGTTTGCATTGCCTCGTTGCTGACATGGCCACGCTGCTCCAGCGCAAGAGCCTCCTCGAGCCCTTGCGAGAGCTGAAGAAGCACTATCGCTCGCGCTCGTCCTTTGCGAAGACCGCCGACGATGACAGGTCCGCCGTTGCTGCCTCCACCTCCGACGTCCCGGCCACGCAGCCCGCCCAGACCGACGACGCCGACGACGCGAGATCAGAGGTCCTGGACGACGTTTCCACCCCCGATCCGAGCGGTGCGTGATCATCATCTGCCCTTTTCACCGCCATGGTTGCAGTCGGCTCCTCAGGGGAACCGACCCTTAAGCCGAAATGTGCCAGGGGTTGCAGTCGCTAACACCATGGATCTTGCAGGCTTGACTGAAGACGACATTCCGAATCTGTTCGCTGGCGCCCCTCTCTTTTCCGTGGACAAGGTCAAGGGCCGCCGCATCCCGAGAGTTGACTTTCCTTACGACGACACCCTCATTGTGCGAGATGTCAGCGACAGTCTGCAGCTTTCCCACGAAGCCTTCTCCTCCGCCACTCTCCGGCCCCACCTCTGCCAGGTTGGACACCAGGACGAGAAGAAAGGGCTGCCCATGGGCTACGACATCAATGTGGTGGAAACCCCGAGCATGTTGGGCGCGCAGGGACTGGAGCCTGGTACCGTTGGTTTCGACCATTTCTTGGAGATTCCGAGATCCGACCACCTGCGCATCGGCGACAACGATGACGAAGCGATCGTGAACCGCGAACTGTTGGAGGAGGCGCCGGAGAAATTGGGAATCAAATGGCTGGACCAGCGGTTGATATACGAGCGGCTCATGGAACTCAGTCAGGTCCACCAGGCTTTCAAGGAGAGCGCCGGCAAGACCACTATTTTGCACTCGCAGGCCCCTGGAGAAATGTACGCCCACCTGTTCGGCAAGTTCCTCATGCCGCCGCGCTACGATGGATCGACAGGCGACCCGACTGGTTTGAAAGTGCAGATCGAGACTTTGATCAGGGTCCTAAGGTTGAAGGGAATTTGGAATGATTTCAGTCTTGTGGAATGGCGGATACGTTTTGGCCGGATCTTGTGGGACACTGCCTCTTCGGATCCTGAAGACTCGGAGGAGTATGCCGGGCCGAGCGAAAGGGACGTGCTGCTGCTCCAGATTCTGCTGGCTTCGGAGCTCCTCCTTCGCTTGGACGCAATATCTGGACTCACGGTGAAGGAAGTTACCGAGCAGCTGCATTTGACTGAGGCCGAGGTTCGCAACTTTGCGACCATAAAGTCCCGCAAAACTGACTGGGACTTGGTACTGGCAAGACGGTTTTTGGAGAACATCGAGATCAGCGAGGAAACACCGGCCCCTCTTACCCCGAAGAGAAAAGGTTTCCTTGCCGCCCTCAATGTCACGCGGTCCACGGAGGAGGAAGACGAGCCGCAGGAAACTGAATTCTGGCTGAGACCCCGCTACCGAGACCGCCAGCTTTCCGGTCTCCTTCATTTTGCAGAAGCCATCGCATGGCCTCGATTCAAGGAAATTTCTATTAATCTGACAGCTAAGCTCCAGGATAGCGGGACGCCTCCCTCACCGAGTGCATACGCTACGCCGCTTGCCTCACCCCTCGCCACTCCGCGCGTATTAAAGGATCCCAGTGGATACTTTGACGAAGAATTCCGTCGTCCCCGTCCGAGCCGTATGAGCACCTCACGATCCATCCAGCTCCACCCGTCGGTCACCTCGACGCCTGCCACGCCTCAACGGCCTTCTTTGCTTAGGAGAGACAGCTCGCAGCCCACGTCGGCCTCGAGTAATGGACCAACTGACATTGGCGGCTGGCTGAGCCGCACCTATCTCACCGGACTGGTCCTCCCTGGTGAGGCAATCTCCCATTTCCTTATTTCGACATTGCTGGAGAACGACAAAACGGCTGTAACCACGCTCGGGGATTCGGCCAATTTGTACGGTGGGTTCATCTACGCTGAACGCAGCTGGTGGAGCAAGACTTGTATCGTCGGAAGGGTCCTCGCCACCATGGAAGGCTCGAAAGAGTGCATGGGCTGGATCAGCGTGCCTTACGTTCCGTTGGGTTTCCGGGACTCCTGGATCGATATCGTCAATGGAACCGCGCCGCCGAGCCCGGGTAAAAAGACGAAATCAAGGATCGATTGCGGAGAAAAGATGGAGCTTGACTCGAGCTACTTGGCGGGAAAACTCGACAGCGAGGTTACGGGAGAGGACTTCACTCTGCCGAAGGACTCGATCGAAACGCCGGCGAAGCTGGTGCGGTTCAACAGCCTGCAGCTACTCCCGGAACCCGTGGTGGAAATCCAGGACCCGGTTTTAGCGGCGGATGCGGAACCCCAACTCAGCTACGCGGCTCAGATGGCGTTTGATCTGCTGGAAACAAGCGTCACACTCTCGTTGACTTACGACATTCAGTTTATCACGGCCTGGCCGTGCACACCGCCATCTTCCGCAACGAACAAGAAGCTGCGCCGCCTCAACAGGAACTCCACCGGTGGCAGATGCGGCCCAGTTTCCGCGCACCCGCTGCACGTCGCGCATAAGTACCGCGTCATCTCACCGGTGCAACTGCTTGCGGGCTCACCGCATCTCACGCCCGCGTCGTCGACGATCTCCCTTCTGGACGAGACGGCGGCTAGCGGCGAGGTCCTCGTGATCGATGCCCGCCCACCGCGTAACTCGGCTGATTCGGGACCGGGTCTCAAGCCGCCCACGGACAGCACGGCCACTCCCGCTGGTCCCTCTGGTGGGGCTGACGCGGCGCTCCTGGCTCGTGCGTGGTGTGCGGACCGCGGCGAGCACGCGCTTGTCGGGCGTGTGGGCCGGACCTGCCTGGCCTGCTGCGTGAGAGAGGCGCGCGCCCTCGGCGTCCGCATCGTCATCCGCGTCTGAGAGCAGCTCAACAAAATTAGATAGAGACACATTTCCCCTGTACTTTCTGTATCACTAAATTGCTGGTCAATGCTTTTTGTTTTTGTCTTTAGCGAGCGCCGAAGGCCATCGACGAGCTTTCTGATTTTTGGGATATCCGATTTTTGCACCTTTCTGTCTTTTACCACCCCGTCATTTCTCTCTTTCTTCTGAGGCATGGTAGAGCGAGCGATCGTTAAGCGAGATTGATATCTGATTCCCCCTTTCTGCATTTAATGGGTGTGTTTGTTGTTGTTTTGCGCAAGATTTTGTTTGGCGAGTTCTGCTCCCACAAACCCGCGAGCAAAGACTGATCGTTCGTCTTGTTTCCCCCCCTCTATACCCCAATACCACCAGTGCGACCTGCCCCAAATGTCTAATTATAAGTTCCGGGTTCCAATATTTTGTATCCCTAATGGGCGTGTCACTTGATACACGCCATACGCCCCCAGTCTTAATCACAGCATCCCGAAGCTCGCCCCCGTCTACGCGATACAGCGAATAAGTAGAGTAATAATAAGATCCGAGGTGCGTCTCCTTGGCTTAGAGTCACCGTGGCTTTGGCGACATGTGGTAGCATTTTCTCTGGTCACTGGGGAGTTCTCCCCGTTTCATTGGTATATATTTAGATATCCAATTCTGTGCACACTCTCCGGAATACTTTCTGAGCGAAAAGATGCACAAGACACCCTGGGAGGAGAACTCAGTAGTTCGCCTGGTCGTTCCAGTACAGCGTCTCGTGCTGGATTTCGGGACCGGTCGCCAACAGATCCCAGTCGAACTTGATCTTGATGAATTGCATGAGGTGGCTCGCGAGCTTGAGAGCGCCGACGTCGGTAGGATGCCACTGCGGACCCTGGTTTTTCGAATGGATCATAGAAGGTCAGCCATCTTTTTTTTTTCTTCTCTCCCATTTCCGTTTGCAAGGCTTGTCATCTTTTCCTAGATTCTCCGTCCCTTGATTCGCAGTATGTCTTTACCCGCGCGGTCTCCTCCTCCTACACCATCCGTCCCCCTGTTCCCTCTCAGTGTACTCACGCATTCCCCTTCACACACTGCCGGCAAGAGAAGGGCAATGCTCGGGCACGGTACGTGGGGGGCGGCAGAGGAAAGAAAGTCCAAACACTTACGATATCGTTATGCTGCATGATGCCCGTCGTGTTGAAATAATGCACGAACCCCTCGCTCTCATACCTCCTCGCCACCTCCTGTATCTCGTCGACGAAGGCGCCGCCCTGGGCCCACGACGAGCCCACGGGCCCGAAGCCGTTCCACAGGCTGACCAGCACGACCTGGGCGTCGGGCCAGACGTCGTGCACGTCGGCGACGAGGGCGACGTAGGCGGCGAGGAAGGCGGCGGGCCCGCCGACGTCGTTGGCCGTGTTGTTGTCGTTGGTGCCGAGGTTGACGACGACGACGTCGGCGGGGGGGCGGGCGGCAAAGTCCCACGGCTCGGCGGCGGCGTGGTCGGCGCCGTACAGGCGCGCGGCGCGCGCCGACGTGTCGGACGCGTAGCGCCACTGGCGCCGCTGCCCGCGCGCGTTGCCCCAGCACGGCGCGTCGACGAGGCAGATGCCCGGGTAGGCCGTGATGGAGAACTCGGCGCCGCCGAGCCCCGCCGCGAGGTCCCACGCGTACGACGCGAGCCCTTCGTACGTCGCGTACTGCCCCGCGGAGAGGGAGTCGCCGATGATCTCGAGCGTGCGCGGGGCGAGCGGGAGGCCGACGAGGGTGCCGTTGGCGGCGCGCGAGACGTGGATGTTGGCGATTTGGACGCCGAGGGACCAGTTGGTGACGCGGAGCTCGAAGGTGCGGGTGCGGGAGGTGGTGAGGTTGAAGCCCGGGGTGGCGGGCGTGACGAGCAGGTTGGTGGAGTTGGCGGTGACGTTGGTGAATTGCTAAGTATCGGGAGATGAGTGGTTTTGTTGTTGTTGTTGTTGCTGGGGGATCAGGGAGGAGATGAACAAAAGAAGGAAAAGGAGCTGCACCCAGTCCTGGCCGTCGAGACGGTAGCCGATGAGGACGCCCGGGGAGGTGTGCTGTCCGAAGCTGATGGCAAGGCGGTCGCCGGTGAAGGCGAATTTGAGGCCAGGGGCTCTGGATTATGAGGTGGTGAATTTGAGCAAGCAATTATGTGTTGCAGCTGGGGACTCACGACCACCCTGATGGATCGACCGTCAGTCACGCTGGACTTGGATCCATTGCTCGAGGGGGATGCTTACAGGAGATGTGCTTGCTGTCCCAGCGACCCTTGTAACCGATTTCGGTGGCGTTGGGCGGGTAGGTCCTCCAGGTGGAATTGCGGTCGTCGTCGTCAAGGACGATGGTCGTGTTTGGGAAGTGGACGTCTCGAACCTGGCCATTCTGCAGGATCGTTGCACAGGCACTGCAGGCCAGAAACACCACAATGAGGAGGCTTGGGAGGCGCATGGTGACGAGACTTCAAGACACTGTTGCTGTAACCATTGGCACGCAAGACACGGGTACGAGCAGGTCGGCGGCCCAAGTCTTTGTTAAATAAAGCTACACATTGCGGCTGGGCGGGAACACGGGCACAGCTGGATAAACACAGAGCAGAGACTCGGCGAGCCAAGCAGCGCCGGGGCAGGGCGCTCCGCGAGGAGTTTGGGAACCATGGCGGGTGCAGCAGAGGCAGAGGGCGGATTCAGGCTGAAGCAGGCGGGAGCAGGCTGGAGCAGGCGGCGGGCGCGGGTGCAGTCGGGGGCAGTCGGGGGCAGCGTCATGTGTCGCTGCAGCCACGGCGTTGACGTCTTGAACATGCGGCGGGCAGGACCTGCGTCTTTAGGCCCATCTTTACCCGCGCGCACTGCCGATGCGGACGATCTTCCGGCGCAAGTGCCCCAGGACGAGGGCGTTGGAGTCGCGGCGCGGACGGGGTGGTGTGCGACGGCGGGCTGTGAGTGGCCATGTCGCACACAGGGCCGTTGCCGCCCGGCGCCGCGGGCACAGCGAGGAAGGTAGCTACCAGGCGGCGGGCGTGGGATTGCGATGTGCAGGGTGGGTTTCTGGTCGTCGCGCTGCTGCCGGCGGCGCAGACGTCGCGGGACGATAGGGCTGCAGCTGTCCGCCCGTTGGTTGCAGCACTTGGGCCCCTCCCACTGCCCAAACCACCGCGCGCGCCGCCTTATTACTCGCAAACGCCGCCCGCCCGCCCGCCCTCCTCCGCGAGCCGCCTCTCCTCCGCTCTCCGTGTTCCCGCCCACTTCGACATCCCCGCGTCCATGGCGCGCGGCGGGCAGTGAGCGCTTGACAATGCCGTCGCCGTGCGTGCCTCCGCACAATGGCCTCCCCAGCCGCTTCCATTCCCGACACCCAGCTCGGCCTGACCCAGGGCGAGATCCAAACCCTCCGCTACCACCAGCAGGTCGCCCTCTCGCAGCATGGCGGCTCCTCGTCGCGCGCCGCCAGCCAGGCCTCGTCCCAGGGCCGCTTGCTGCTCGACCCCACCAGCCTGCAAGCATTGAGCACCCACTTTGACCGTTTGCTGCACAGCATCCAGCAGCGCTGGTCCCATGTGAGCTCCAGTCCTGCCCTCCGTCACCAGCGCCCCCCCCACTGACCCGCGTCCGTCTGCCCACAGCTATCCGACCAGACCCAGTCCGCCACCGCCATGCAGTACGACCGCGCCGGCAACCTCATCTCCGACGCCGACGCCCAAATTGCCCGCTTCCATGAGATCCTGCGCCAGATCGACGAGCTCCAGGTCGAGTTCGACAAGATACGCCGCATTGGAGAGATAGTCAAGGCCTACCGCCGTCGTGTCGAACACCTCGACCGCCGCGTCGGCCGCTGAGATTCAACAGACGGCCATCTTTGCCGTGCACATGCCTCTGCCCTCTCTGGCGACGCCCTTGGCTGCACTTTGTCCGCGTCTGACGTTGTGTTGCTCTCCCACGAATTCGCACATGGGCCCAACACTGCCCAATTTCGGCGCCCAACGGTTACGACTCACCATGAAAACCTACCAATGAGACAGCACTGATCTAGGACGCCCGACGTATACCCAACCCACGTAGCTTGGCATGGCCGGACATGCAGAACTAAAGCCATGATTTTCATTTTGTCCCATTTTCACAAGAGATTGGATGCCTCGCGGCACAAAATCGAGATTGCAGCGGTATTGTTTACTTTTTGAGCTCGGGAAGACCGGCTTGTGCGAATGCGAACATGTTTTTGGCAAAGGAGCAAGCGCAAGGCGTTCATATGGAGTTATTGCTTTTAACTTTCAGCCTTTTCTTGGCCCAGCTGCTTGTCTTTCCCGGCTGTAGGGATATACCCCATTTTCCTTCTTCTTTTAGCCATCTGCAATTTTGCCTCTCTCCCTTGCAAGCGTAGCGGCTTGGAACATCGATCGATTGGAATCATACTGCGTCGAATCCAGCCATGTCCCAGGCATTGGGAAGTCGGTGCAATGAAGTTTTACATTGCTTTTCCCCATCCAGCCCGCCCTTCTCTGACTCCTGTCCGCGCCGCCTTCCAACCATTGGTCTGATTTGCCTTTACCGTTACGGCGGGTTCTTAGACGAGCTGAGCCTTGCCTGGCCCCCCCGCCCGTCGTTCAATCCTTCCACTCACCGCTCACTCTCCCCGAACCCAGCCGTTTTCCGTACTCATTTTCCCTCTCTTTTACCCGAAACCTTGTTTCCTATCGGCACATGCCGTTCTTCTCCTCTCACTCTCACACCCAGCACCCCACCAACTACCTTGCTCTTCGGCTTCACCTCCACGCGGAGAGAAGAAAAAAAAATCGATACAACGACCTCGGCAGAAGCGCGATTTTTGGGAAGTGTTGGAACGGCGCAGTAGTGGGACGAAGAAAGGATTACCCTGCAGTAACACAAAAAAGGAAAATCTAGACTAGTCATCGGGCACTCTTGTTTCCCCCCCTCTTTTCCAGCGGTTCCCTTTCTCAGTCGCTCCCGCGTTCGTGATAATAAAAAAAGGAAACCTCCGAGGTGCCACGGCCCCGATAGCCGCGCCTCTGTTCCGGGCCACACAAATCCAGGGATGATGACATTTACCTCCCACTAAACATCTCATCGCCCAATCAGAGCATGAGTGGGGGGAGAGAAAAAAGCAAGAAGAGAACACTATGGGGGAGACCGGGTGGCTTCAGATTGCGGCCACACGGGCACAACAGCCTTGTCGTTTTTTTTTATTCTTGCTTGGTTTCTTTGCTCTTGCGGTGGTGCGGACGAGCGGGATCGATCGACACCACTGTCGCTGGATACATGGTTACTTCGACTCGCTATCGCGTATGAGTTTGCATGTTTCACAACAATCGGGAGGCCTGAGCCATGGCCTGACTTTCTGGTAGTCTTGATGTTGTGCATCGTGTTTTCTGCACAGATGGGCCGTGGGGCGGGAAGTGGGGGAATGCATGCATGACAAGGACCCTTGTCACCCTACGTCCGCTCTAATGCAGAAGGTTGACGTGAGCGGCTGTGTGTGTGCAGTTGGCACAGTTGATGGCAATGTCATCATTTGAATGCAGTTGACATAGTGGTGGACTTGGCGACTAGCACGTCTTATTGAAAGTTTATTTGTTTGTTTGTACAGTGGGGGCACGTACGTATACGGTACCCATTCTGGCCGGAGATAATCATGGCTATCTACTGAACGATACAGACGTTCCAGGAGTGTTCCTTGTACTGGTCGGCGCTGGTCATTGTGAGGGTGTTGGTGATTAGGACTTGAGGTTTGTGGGTGGTGTTTTGGCTTGTAAGTTATTCTTGATGCTGGAGGCTTTGAATTGGCGGGGTGCGCCGCCCAATATATATCTATGCTGTGGCTTGCTCGCCTGCCGAACACCAAGACTGCAGAGAAGAAGTCCGGTGTTGGTAAAAGAAGAACATGAATGACAATGGTCACGTCCTATGATGTTCTTCTTGCTTGACGCACAATGTACTCAAAGGCATTGTAGCTTTTCTCACCAAGACTTCTTTGTCTTGTATTATTTTAGGATTTGGTAATGATAGGCACCTTATTCTTTTTATAGATCTTTGACAAAAGCGACTGTGGGACAAAGGGAATTGACTCGTGCATGTGGTACGGAGAGATACTAAAAAGCGGAAGTACTTAAGCTCACAACTCCCCAGATCCACCATCATACTTCTCCGCTGCATCAAGTTTTAGCTAACAAACATAAACACAACCACACTAAAACACCGAGACACATAAAAATGGGCATCACCAGTATCCCCAAGCCCGGAATCATTCCCACTTCTTGCCTTGTCATGTAAGCAAGACAAGGCGAAGGCAATAGACAGAATGGAAAACTTAGGAAAAACTGCTTAAATACTACAGTTCAGGTAAGTCACGTCACGCAAAACAGCTAATTCGAGATAGGGTGAAGTTACTCAAATGTCGACAATCGGCATGCATAATATTCATGAACTTCGGTGTGCTTACTCAAAAGCGCTTTCGGCCCTCCATAACATTCACCATACACCAGACTGATAGGCAAGGTACACTCCCAGAAAAAAAAGAGTAGAAGAAAATTAACACCAATCATGGCGCCATCAAGACGCCAGAATGCTCTGCTTTCCCATACATGCATCGGCTTCCTCCTTTCAGCCACCCAAACCCTCTGCATCCCCTATTTCCTCCCAGATTCAAGACTAGAGTTCTCTTTGGTCACGAGAAGTCCTTACAAGCCCCATAGACCGGCAACCAAGGCGACGACACCAGCAATGCTGGCAGCACCCTGGCCCACGATGGAAGCGCCGGCGCCAGTGGACGAGGCAGGGGTGGCCGCGGAGCCGGAGGGCGTAGAGGAAGATGAACCGCTACCGGAAGACGAGGAAGACGACGAGGAAGATGAAGAAGAAGCCTGAAAGATACCGCCGCGGATTGCGTCGGGCGTCTCGGCCTTCTCGACATCGGCGGCGGCGGAGGCGTAGGCTGTCAGGGTCTTGGACTTGCTGTTCGCACTGTCGAGCCGCATGGTTAGCCACTTTCCTTCCCTGGGCAAGGGAGGGAGCAGAACGGAAGACTTACGCGGGGTTGATTACGCCGACCATGCCGCTCTGGCAGTGCTTGCCTTGGGAGCAGTAGTACCAGATGGGATCGGTGTTGTTCACGGTGACGACGAAGGTCTCGTTGGCGGCGCCTGAAGACGTCCTGACGAAATCCGAGTTGAAGCCCGTGTCGGACGGGGTGCAGGGGGAGTCGAAGGCACCCTGAACGACCGAATGCGCTTCGGGCCAGAACTTGAAGGTAAGCGTGTCGCCCTTGGCCGCCGTCGTGCTGTTGGGCTCGAAGGTGAGGCCGTTCTTGCCGACGACGATGTCGATGTTCTTGGCCTGAGAGAGGGAGATGAGGACCGTAGGGGCCAAAAGGGTGTAGGTGGAGAAGTGCATGTTGGCGATTGGTGGTTGGTGGTTGGTGGTTGAATTGAGGTCGTTTTCTTTTGGTATTAGAAGATGGTATGTAGAAACTGTGTCAAACAGTCCTTTTCTTTGAACAGAATAGAAGAAAACGGGGTATCTTGTTGATGAGAAGTGATTGATTTGATGCTGGAGAGCGCATTCCAAGCGGCGGGCGGGTCGCCTACTTTATGCATTCCGCAAACCTTCGTTTACCAGCTTTGGTGGCTCTCCCTGGCTACTGCAAGCCGCACACACGAGGCGGCAAGACGGCAACGAAGGGGCTGTGTAGAGCGCTACGGCTAGAGGGCGCTCGCACGCTTACCGTTCCAAAGCTCACAGCTATCGAGCATACGACACGGCGATATGGCCCAATGCTCGATCAGGACCTTAGCCTCAGCCACGTCAGGCTGGCAGCTCGAATCTAACTGGATCTCGGAAAGGCCCTGATCGACGGGCGAATCAGGCGTCGGTGCATGTGGCTGGCGTTGGCGGCTGGGCTGAGGGCAGGGCTCAGCCTTGACGAGACGTGCGATTCACCTTAAAGGGCGAGACTTGAAATGGTTGCGGCACCTTTGGCGTCTGGACAGGCGCCGTTAGGGGTCATCTGGCTGTGTAACGGGCTGGGGTCCAAGAATAGCGCGGGGTGCTATAGCTGAAAGCGGCAAGTCTGGGACAAGCTCGTGGACGGCAGGTGTCAGTCCAAAGCTTAAGGGCGGCTGCATGTTGGGGTTTGGAGCGGTTCGAGAAGCGTTGCAGGATGGCCGGAAGCGTCAGAGAAGCGTCACAAATCTGACGCACTTGTGGAACATCACGTCTCGAAAGGGCATTTGTGAGCCTGAGGCGACCACAACACTGACGGGGGCTGACGGAGGCCAGTCCGGCAAGAGCAAGCGCTGGTGACGGCGGGGAGTGGAGGGTCGGCTTTTGCAAGTGGTTGAAAGCTGAAGGCTACTCCCATGTCCAGACGCAGAGTTGACGACACGGCTTGACGACACGGGCCGGCGGACGAAGCGTTGGGAGTGGCGCCAAGTCACGGCAGCCATGGTAGTGCACATGTTGAGGAGGCACGAGGCGGCAGTCTCCCAGAGGCAGGTGTCGGCGGGGGCATGGCCTGATGGAAGGTCGTTATATCAGCCCTCAACTCCCACCTCCCGCCATGGTCGCCGCCAACTCTGCAGTGCAGCGGGCGCCAAGGCCGTGGTACCGATCGAACCGGGCTGTCGTGACAATTAAAACCAAAAATCTCTCACGGCCGGCGCGCAGTCGCCTCTAGAGGAATGACATCCGCCACACTTACCTAATAACCCATCAACATTACGTCCAGGCAATTCCAGCAGCAATGCTAACCCTGTGCAGCCCCCATAGTCGCCGTCTCCATCTCCGCATCTCCGGGGTCCGCTGCGTCCGCTGCGTCCGCCATGCGCTGACCGAGCCAAATTTTTTCCTCTTCCGGGAGGCGCGTCGAACGATCGATCCCCGCGGGCTGGGGCCGGTTTGGGCAGTTTGGGCGAGCGCGGGCGTGCGCGGGGCCTCACCGGTGTGGGACGCGGCGGACGAGCATGGAGTGATTGGCGACGCTGGCGACGCTGGGCACGCGCGACCGGCAGCGCAGCGGCTTATCGTGCTCTCGCGCGCGAGGAAGGAGCGTGGGAGCGTCAGAGCCGTCAGAGCCGCACCTGCGCACCTGGGCAGCCGCGCAGCCGCGCAGCCGAGTGCGCAAGTGCGCATCGCAAAACCTATCGCCCGGCTAGCAGCGGCGGCCAAGGACGAGCCAGGTAGGGGCCCGTCGGCGTGGGCTGTATCTGGCGCTCGCCATTTGCCAAGCCGCACCACCCGCCCGGCCCAAAAGAGCATTGCTGTTAGCAAGAGAAATGCCCTGCGATCTGAGCACTCTGCTGGCACGGCCACACGCCCGCCGCCCTGAAATACCCCAAGAGCCGTGAGCCTCTCTCCCTCTCCTGTCCTGCTCCCTGGCCGAGTCCGGGATCGATGCCAACCGGAAAAAATCATTGCTTGCCGCTGCTGCTGTTATGTTGCTGCTGCTGCTTCTTCTTCTCACTCCCCTCGCCTCAGGCTTGAAAAACCACCACTAACTCCTAAACCAAGCCTTGGCCACCCCCAGGCCCAACGACCGGTGGGGATTACGTCTTTCTTAGCTTATTCTTTCTTAGCAACCCTGCTGTCAGGAGCACCAAGGAAAAAATGCTTTTCTTTAAGCCGCATGCACCCTCTTCCCCTCCTTGTACCCTTTCCCCGCCCCTCTCCGTGGACTGCAAAGGACCTTTCACGTTTCACCTGCCATAATGCCGACGCTTCCAGACCACCTTTGCCTGACACCTTCACCTCGCCTTCGCGCCTTTCTGCCTTGCTTATCCACCACCGTCTCGGAGCAAAATTCATGCCACGTCCTCGCTGTCGCTCAGGAGCGAACAGGAGGCGTTGTGGAGGAAGAATCGCAAGGGAAAAGAGGAGGCCATGAAGCGAACCGCTACCGACGCTGACGACATTTGGCGCCATCGATGGCTCGCATCGCGAAAGGAAAAGGAAAAAAAAAAGAAAAAAGAGCAAGGGATCATCATCATGGGCGATAAGATATGCAGCGCACACAGAAACGCCGAGCGAGACGGAATCGACTACCATGGCCATCGTCGTCGTCGTCGTCGTCGTCCGTCATCGAATCTCCATCGGACGGGCTGGCTGCTGCCTGAACTGACGTCCTGCCTGCCTGCCTGTTCGTCCCGCTGCCGAAGATGCCGAAAGTATCGAGCCGGATGAATGCACTCTCCCACCAACCCCCGTCGGCTCTGACTAGTACTGGTTGCCTGGATTAGGTTTATCTCTCCCTCCTCTTCCCTTGTTCGGACGCCGCATGGAGCCATCTCCACTTTCGTCGTTGCTCACCCACTACCCAATTGATTGGCGCCGAAGCTTTCCTTCCTGTTTGCCCTCGGCACGACTGTTACGATAAGAAAGGGATGGGAACACGCGAGCACCCGGTCGAGACTGAAAAAGGATCACTCCCCCCCTCACACATACCTACCTCTTTTCCACCCGGAACCATTGGTCTCAAACGAGCCGGGAAGAGGCGTGTGAAGGATGAGGATGGCTGCCTGCCGCTGCTCCTCCGCATCTGCTCGCACACCCTACCTACGTGTTCCCCCACGTGCTCGCTCTCGCTGTCGTCGTCTGGGTCAAGAGGGGGATTTCCAAACCGTTTCACGCGCAAGCACTTTGGACAACATCGGCAAAGCATGGATATTAATCTCTCGTGATTTGCGTCAAACCTCGCCATCTCTCGACTGGAACTGGGCTCGCGGAAACCACAACCGACACATCGACAACAACCACTCGCGGCCGACAACAAAATCCAAATCCCATCTGCGAAGCGAGCTCCTGCAAAACACCACCCTCCCAAGTCTATACGGAATACAGCAACGAACGAGGCCGAAAACCCGCGTTTACAGCTGGAGCACAAACACGACTGACACAAAGCGCTGCGCCCACCGAAAAAAAACAAAAGACAAAAAACGACCCTCCATTCCCGAACTACGAGAAAGAGACGGAACAGCAATCGAGCCGGACAAGGGAATCACATCGTAGACTTCGTGGCCAAAGAGAACAGGGGGGATAAGAGCAGAGGGAAAAAAAAGGGGCCAGAAAAAGGTAAAAAGAAGCAGCAGCCATCGAGAAGGGTATTAAGGCACGGGTACCACAGGATGTGCAGAGCGCCTGCCTCCACTGCATTCACCCCAGGTAGGCTGTCCCGTTTGGATGCTTTCCTCGTGTTCTTCCGAGTCGCCGTCTCATCGTCGATTTCTTCTCTCGTCTTTTCATCCACATTTCACGGCGGAGCGCCTGCCTCCTCCACCGTCATCAATCTAGGTATTAGACGGACCGGTATTAGCGGTCCGCAACAAAACATTTGCCCGTGGCGCAGCACATCGAGTGTTGCGTCACGAGCAAACGGCCTGTTTGCCGGTGCAGAGCGCCTGCCTCCTCCACACTGATTGCCAGGACCAGAAGAACGTGGTATTGCTCGTCGGATTCCAGTAACGAAAAGAACTCTACAAAGAGCCATGTAACAATGAATCTTCGGTGCGATCAAACGCACCGTCATCAAAAAAGCGAGGGCGGGGGTGCGGTCCCTCTTCCAATCACCCCCGCCCGAGGTATCATCTTGGTTCAGGTGGAAACAACAACGGATCAACGCCAGACACGTCTGGGTTGCATCATGGACGAAAAGAAGGAATCGATGCGTGGAGAGACAAGATGGTTGACAAGTGCAACCCTGCTGAGATCGGCTGAGACAACGAGCAGACTACAAGCTCATTGTCAGCCACTCCCACTCCTGTGGCCCGCTTCCCGACCCTGGAATTGCGCCTTGTCCCATGGAGCCCATCTGAATGGGGTTGTGCTGAGTAGCCATGGTTGGGGGAGCCTGGACGAGAGGTTTCGGCTCGCTCTTCTTCTGGCTGCTGCTGGTCGAGGGAAGGGATTTGCCAGTCGTGTCGTCCGCATCGCCCATTTCGGTATCTTGGTTGCCGGCTTTCGCACTCCGCAAGCGTTTGGGTGCAGCGGCAGAGTTCCGCGCCGGGGCAGATGCAGCCAAGTTCTGGGATTGCGACTTTGGCGGACCGGGCGCAATTGGCACGACGCCATTTTTAGAAGCAGTAGTGCTGACGTTGCTAGCAGTGTTCGCAGCCGTGCTCGACGCCGTATTCGACGCCGAACCCGTGATCGACTTGGGAGATTCGGACTCAGCGCCGCTGGCCTTGGTTGAGTTGGGCGTCGTCACAGTGGACTGCGCAGCGATCGAGTTCTTGCGCGACGTCTTGTTCTTCGACCTGCTCGAAGTGCCGACCGGCACGCTGTTGCCACTGCCACGGTTGCGCTTTTTGATGACGTCCGTCTTGAGCGATAGCGGTCGCACGACACCGTGCAACTTCAAGAACAAACCGCATGCATTGCAGAGCGGATGACCTTCAGGGTTG